TAAGGAATGGGGGGGAGGGGCGTCAGGCCGCGCATGCGCAGCGGGTCAGTGACTCCGGTCCGGGGCCTGAGCCAGGGCGTAGCTCAGACCGGGAGCTGCCCGGCCCCGCCCCCGCCCACGTGCAGGAGGAGCGAGAATTCTAGGGGCGGAGCTGGGACCGGGACACTGGGGGGCGGGGCTGTGCCTGCGAATCTGCTTCCCTGCAGCTGCTCTCGCCAGCCGGGGGCGGGAAACTTCCCTCGGGTCTCAGGGCGCAGCAGTTCCAAGGCAAATACCCGGGGCAGCCCCCCCCCCCCCAGCGCACGGCTCCCCATTGAGCGTCCCTGTTAAAACCCCTCTCGGCACCTGGGGGGACGCGCGGCTGCTGGGTGATTGGTGCCCAGGATTCGGTGTCAAACCGGAGTCACGCTACCGCGCTGGGATTGCCCAGCTCAGTTTCTCCGAGTTACAGGACAAATGATGGGTCGAGTCTGGTTCCTGGTCACTTAAAAATCCTGGTTCTCCGGGTCTGGTTCAGGTCTGGTGATTCCAGCCCAGCGAACCAAAGCTGCATCTGCTGAACTGTCCCTGGGGAGTGGGGGGCAGCCCAGAGGGGCTCAGGCATGTGGGGAGGGGTCCCTGGTTTCAGCACAGGCAGAGGAGGCTGGTGTCTGTCTGCTCAGGGTACAAAGCCCCAGAGCTGGCCGAGTTCCCTGGGTCAGATAATACTGCCTCTGACACCCTGATCTAGGCGCTCAGGTGGGTCTGTAGCAGGGAGACTTTCCCTGCGGCCCCTCTGGCCCCACTCTGGCTGGGTACACTCCCTGGTGCCTGTTACTGGCCCCTTGCGGCAGCCCCAGGCTTTGCTGGCATCAGCATTCCCTGCGGCCCCTCTGGCCGGGGCAGCCCCAGGCTTTGCTGGCATCAGCGGCCGGTGACGGGGAGAGAACGGGGGACAAAGCTCGGGAGGGGCAGGAAAGTGACTCAGCCTATTCCAGCCTGAGTTTGTGCCTGAGGGGAGGGAAGCCTCTGTATGTGTGCAGGTCTCAGTAACACAGCCAAGCTCCCACTGGAGAAGCCCCTGTATGTCTGCAGGTCTCAGTAACACAGCCAAGCTCCCACTGGAGGGCAAATGCTCATGGACACGTAGGCACCAGCGCTCCCCGCACAGGGGAGAGGGCAGGAGAGGGACTGGATAGAGCAGAAGAGGCAGCAGGTGCAGAAAGTAGGGAGAGAGGTTCCCAGCCCCCAAACTGCCCAGACCCATTCATAGGTCATCCTGGGCAGATTGTCTTGGGAGCAAGGGGCAGGGAAGGAAAAGCCAGTTCCTGCCCCTCCCAGTCTCTATGTGACCGGGGTGGGGGGCTTCCTGCCCTCAGGGACACTGTCAGAGAATCCCCCAGAGAGGCAGGTTTGGAACTTCTGCTCTTTTCTAGCATTTGTCTCAGAGACTCTGTCCCTGGGAGGGTGTAAAAGAGCCTGGGGGGAGGTGTCAGGCCTGTATTGCTGCAGCACGATTGAGGGTTTCCCAGCATGGCGCAGCCTAGAGTGTCTGTCTTCAGGGAGGGAGCCTGTGGGAAGTGGGGTGTGAAATGGACCCAACGCCCTTTGGAAAACTCCCCAAACACCCCTCTTACCCTGACAGGCTGAAGACTCATGTCCCCATTTTGCTCGGGATCGTCCCAATTTCCAGGAGGCAGCGCAGGGAAATGGCTGTGGTGGAGCCAGCTCAGGTAGGGGATTGTGTGGGGAGCTACAGGTGGGTTATTGCAGTTGGCGAGGGGCAGGATATACACAGGGAGGGGGCAGGGTGGGATAAACCTGCTGTGACTTGCTCAGCCTAGGGCCTGATGGTCTGAACAGGCCCATTGGGTGGGGAGTGAACGTTCTCCCATTTCTAAAAGAGGAAGCACCGCATGGACAGGGCAGGGAAAACTGACCAGAGTCTTCATTGGTCCATCAATGGCTACTAGCCAGGATGGGCAGGGAGGGTGTCCTGAACCTCTGTTTGCCAGAAGCTGGGAATGGGTGACCGGGGGTGGATCACTTGGGGATCCCTGTTTTGTTCATTCCTTCAGGGGCACCTGCATTGGCCACTGTGGGCAGACAGGACACTGGGGCTACGTCTACACTAGCAGCTTCTTGCGGAAGATCAGACATTCTTCTGCAAAAATTTGCCAGCTGTCTACACTGCACGAGCATTCTTCCAGAAGTAAATTTACAGTATAGCATTGAACAACAGGGCTTCTTCCGGAAGAGTTATTCCTCTCCCAATGAGGAATAAGCTTTCTTGTGCAAGAGGGCAGAGTAGACAGGCAACATGAATTTCTTGTGCAAGAAAGCTAAACACTTTCTTACCCAAGAGAGCGTCTACACTGGCACAGATGCTTTTGCGCAAAAGCACATCTCTAGCGCAAAAGCACGTGCCAGTGTAGACGCTCTCTTGTGCAAATGCTGTAACGCAAAAACTCTTGCGTTAAAAGTATTTAAAATCATGTCAATGTAGACGTAGCCTGGGTGTCCTTAGCCAGCCCGTGAGTGGTACAAAGGGGCCCGGCAACACTGACTTTCTGTAGTTTGAAAGGCACACCTACAGCTCAGATGAGGTGGCCGAGTGGTTAAGGCGCTGGGCTGCTAATCCAGTGTGCTCTGCATGCATGGGTTCAAATCCCATCCTCATCAGGTGTTTGCAGCTTTGCTTCTGCCAGAGATCTCTTCAGTTCAGTGCCAATTTCTCCTGTAACACTGCCTGCCTGCTGCAGCCTGGGGACACTCCCAGATGGGACCCTCAATCCCTTCTGCCCTCAAAGGTAAACTTCACAAACAAGATTCCAGGCAACCAGGCCATGGGTGTCTTTGAGGCTATGTCTACACTACAGACTTCTTGTGCAAGAGAGTGTCCAGCCTGCAGAGTACCTGTGCTCTTTTTGATAGGGGAGTGACCAAAACACAGACTCAATACGAGCAGGATTTGAATCTGCCAAACCCATCATAGAAGCAGGTAGGAGCAAGCAGCCAGCAGGGTGGCCGGTAGGAGAAATAGCAGATAGCTGGTAGGAACAGTGCTGGTGGGAGCAGCCAGCAGGTGGGCAGTAGGGGTAACAGCAGGTAGCTCGTAGGAGTTGCTAGTAAGAACAGCAGCAGGTAGCCAGCAGGGTGGCTGGAGGAAGTGGCCAGCAAGCAGCTGGTAGAAGCAGTGGCGAGTGGCCAGCAGAGTGAGTGAGAGGCCTTATGCCCACCTCCCAAGAGTGGGAGATGAGCTCTGAAAATCACTTCTGAGTTCTTATCTGCCCTGAGCAAGGGATGCAACTGTGAGTGGGGTACAGAGAAAGTTTGGGCATGTGAATGGGGCACTTTCTTTAATGGCAAAGGACATTGTTCAATCACCTTGAGCGGGGACTTACTTGTAGGTTGGTTCTGAACCCTGCTTGTGGTATTTTCCTGGGCGAATGCCATGTTACTTCTCGCCTTCTTTCATTAAAGGTTTCTGTTCTACATTCAGACTCTGTGCTGTCCAGTGGGGAAGCATCGCCTCCCTGAGGTGCCCAGCGGTGTGTGTGGATTTCCCCGGTTGCTGGGCCATGGGGTGAAGCATCAAACCAGCCCCCTCCTGTGGGGCTTGTGAGTGTTGCTGAATCTGTGCCTCTGTGCCTGGCCAATGGCAAACTTAGTCTGGGGGCCACACAAAGACCCCACTGGGCTGAGCAGGAAGTAGCTGAGACTTTGCTTTGTCTGTGCCTGTGGGCTTGGCTATCTTCAGCCTGGAAACCTCCTGGCTCCTGTGACGTAGTGGGGGTACCTGGCTGGTTAGCTATCTTCAGCCTGGAAATCTCCTGGCTCCTCAGTCCATTGGTCTGGATCATAGAATCATAGAATCATAGACCTTAGAAGGCAATCAAGTCCAGCCCCTTGCCCAAAGCAGGATCAATCCCAATTAAATCACCCCAGCCAGGGCTTTGTCATGCCGGGACTTAAACACCTCTAGGGATAGAGACTCCACTACATGCCTAGGTAACCCATTCCAGTGCATGGAGTGTTACAGAAGTTGGAATAATGGAATTGCTGTGTAGATGCTCATATTGCTATTTCGGAATAATGTCTGTTATTCCCAAGTAATGCTGCTGTGTAGATGCATCCTAAGAG